GCCGGCGCGCAGAGCGGGAACCTGGACGGCCTCCCGCGCGGCCACCTCCAGACGGACCACGGAGCCGGACGCCGCAGCCCCGAGACAGCCGGGAGCCCGCGGCCGCGGGACGGAGACCGCGCGCCTGGGGCGGCCGGGGCAGGGCGCGGGGCCGAGGTCGCGAGAGGCCGCGGCCGGGGACGGGACGCCGTGGGCGCGGATGGCCCGAAGCTGCGACCGCAAAACGAGCAACCGGTCAAAAGGGGCGAAAGCCCCAGACGGGCGCTTACAGGGGAGAGGCCGGCGCGGCGCGGGCACAGGGACACCCCCGGGCCCAAACCCGCCCACCCCCCCCCACCCCCCCCCCCCGCCAGAGGCGTCCAGGCCCCCGCGGGAACCGGCGCCCGCCCTCGGGACAAGCCTCGGGGGCGCAGGGTCAGAGCGGCAGCTGGAAACCCGTGGGGCCCGGAGGGGAGGCGCCGGCCCGGGCGCAGCGCAGCGAAGGGACCAGACGGCAGCCGGCCAGGCGCGGCCACGCGGCCCCGGGAGCGGAGAGCTGGGCTGAAGCCCGCGGGCAGTGGGGGCCACGGGTGCTGGTGCTGGGGGGCCACGGGCAGCGTTGCCTGAGGGGTGCCCCTGTTGCCGCAGTTAAAAAGTAATTAGTTAGGGCCTGGGGGGGGGGCAGCGGTTGAGCGCTGGGGTGCGAAGCTGCCCGCGGCCTCTGCAGCGCTGGTTCGATCCCCGGCTGCTCCCCGGCCACCGGAGGAGGGTCCCACATGGCGCGCAGACCTCTCCTGCCGCCCGCTGCTCCCCTCAGCAGGGGACTTCGGTCCTTCTGCCTGCTCTGCTCCCCGCGCTGGCGCTGGTGAATTCTCTCACCCTCCCGCGCTTCTGACTGTGCCCAGTGCTGGTATAAATAAATAAATAAATCTTTAAAAAAAATAAAAATAAAATAAAACAAAACTCATGGCTTAAAAAAAAATTAATTAGTTAAAAAAACAAGACCGGGCCTCCCCGGTGGCGCAGAGGGTTGAGCGCAACACCGTGAAGCTGTCCGCAGCCTCTGAAGCGCCAGTTCGATCCCCAGCTGATCAGGGAGATACCCACATGGCACAGCAGATCTCTCCTGTCTCCCCTTTGTTCCCCTCAGCAGTGGATTTCCATCAGTCTGCCTCTTCTGTTCCCCGTTCTGTCTCTGTGAATCCTCTCACCGCCCCCACCCCAGCATCTCTGGCTTGCACCCCAGCTCTTGTATGCATAAATAAATAAATCTTTAAAAAAAAAACAAGATCAAAGTTGGTGGCAGCTGCACCCACCACCACCAGGCCCTCAGGACAGCCAGGAGGCAGTGGGCCATGAAGGGTGCCCCAGCCCCAGGAGGATGGGTGCAGCCTCCACCACCTGCAGGAGCACCAAGCCAGCTCCAGGCAGAGGCGCCGTCTGAGGCCACCGGGGGGCTGTGGGGCAGCCATGCCGGTGCGACACCTACGTGGACGTGTTCAGAGAACCGTCCAGCTTGAAACCAACAGTGCCGCATGTTAATTTCAAATTTATAATCCACACATTTTCAAAAGAATTTCTGGGGAAAATGGACACGTTGATGCTAAAATTTACATGGACCACAAAGGGCAGAGTCCCCCAAGCCGTTTGAAAAAGAGCGATGTCCCCACACATCCCTGTGCTGGCGGCCGTGGCCTGCAGGAGGCCAAACTGAGCAAGGAGCCTGGAAATGAAAGGAAAAGCCACTGAGGACCATGGACTTGGAAGTCCAGTGTCCGTCGGGCATGGGTACGGCTGCTGGCCCTTGGGCCATCTGCTCCAGGGCTGGGGGGGAGCCCCCAGGACCAGCTTCTCAAGTGGGTGGACTGGCCTGCGAGGCACCTGCCCAGCCTCTGGGTGCATAGTCATGCGCCCGCTGGGTTCCCAGCACACATTGCCGGGCCTCTGAGACACTGCGCAGGGCCCGGGGCGGGGCGGGGGGTGCTCTGGCCCCCATCTGACAGGAGACAGGACCAGAGGCGGGGTGAAGAGGAGGCCCTCCAGAACACAGCTCCAGCTGCAAGCCAGGCAGGAGGGAGCCCAGCGGGGAGCTTCCCGGCCCAGGAGGGAGTGTCTGAGTCACAAGCCCCACCAGGTGTGGGTGTCAGGGCCCAAGCTCTCCAACTGCGCCCTGGCACCGGCCCCAGCGCGGGTCCCCGGGCCCCAGCACAACATGGAAGGCTGAGGGAGGCCGCGAGTCCTCGGGTGCAGGACACTAGCTCTCCCGGCAGCTCGGCCACCCTTCCTTTGCCTCCCTGTGCACCTTGCCTGGCTGTCGCTGCGTTGAAAGCTGATGAGGCCCAGCGGCCAGTGCTGGCATGCCCGCGGCTGTGGCCAGGACGCTCGTGTAGCTCTGTCCTCCCGCTCATGAGAAGTCCTCTCCGCCGACAGCCAGTGCATGGGGTCAGGCCTGGAGATGGTGCGTGGACCTGCTCCCGAGAAGGCGTGCCGGGGCCGCCCCTTCCAGGCGGCCTTGGGGAGCAGGGAGAAGGCCCTCTCTCCCGACCTGCGTCCTGCTTCTCTCTTCCAGTCCCTGTTCCTGGCCCCCAGCTTCTCCTTGGGACAGCGGGAGTGTCTGTGTTCCGGTCCCATAGGGAGCTCTGCCACTGACCCCTCACCTCTGCCAGGCCCCCCTCCAGGATGCTGCCCCCCCCACCTCCCTGGCTCCGGCCCCCAGGTTCTGCTCCCCACTCATGGGGGTTCCCTGGAGCTGTCACCTCTTCCCCGCTGGAGCCAGTTCCTGAAAGAACATGGTCCTGGCCCGCAGCGGGGCAGGGAAGGCTCTCCTGAGTGGTGGGAGACCCGCCCCACCGCTCCCTGGCCCTGGTGGGTGTCCCCGGCAGTGGGAGGCCGGGGTGCACCGGCTCAGTGGCCAGCCTCTCCCCAGGGCCCAGGGCTCGGGGTGCGGGCAGAGCCTCTGTGTGACAGCAGAGGGCGCTGTCCCCGCGGGAGGCTACGCCAGGCCGGCCCAGCCTGCCATAGGCTGAGGGCACCTGAGCTGCCCCCTTCCCAGGGCACAGAGACAGCCTCTCCCGCTTCTGTGCCCCCTCTTCACGCCCGCCTGACACCCGCCCACCAGCTCCTAGGTGCTTGGAGACAGACGGGGGGGACCGTGGCCCCCACAGCCTCTGCGTGGCCATTCTGGCACGGGACCCCACCAGGCCAGCCTCTGTCTGCTGCTGGGCTGGGAGCCCCGCTCTGTGCACTGCCGGGGCTGCCAGGGGCCAAGGCTCCCAAAAAGACTACAGGGGGCCAAGGGGGGACCCAGGATCGACATTGGAGCCCCCAGCCCGGGACCCTTCTCTCCACAGTCCCCCTGGCAGACGGGACCCAAAGGGAGCCGCCTTGCTGGCACAGGGCTGGGCTCGCTGCCCTGCGCGCGGCTGCCCAGGCCACTCCCGGCCCCTCCAGCAGGACAGGGAGAGGCAGGCCGGGAGCCCAGAGGGCCGAAGCACCCCTCCTCCTGGGCCAGGGCCCCATCAGCCCGGACGGACGGCGGCCCTCGCGGCACAGCCACCCTCCTTTGTGTGTGGAGCCAGCAGCCTCTGCGGGGCTCCCCGCGACGGCCCTAATCCCAGCCCCACAGCTGAGGCGGGGGCTGGGGAGGCGGGAGTCTGCCCGCCTGGCGCTGGGCCCCCACCCCAATCCCACAGCCCAGGTTCCCCAGTAATGCGATAATTGGGTGGGATTTTCGCTGAGAGCAGGGGAAGTCCGCAGCAGGACGCGCCAGCCCCCTCCGCGCCTCATTCCAGGACCGCGCGCTCCTCTCGGCGGTGGGGTCGGCGCGGCCGGGGGCGGGGCGGGCGTGGGGCGCCATCCCAGGCGCCCCCGAGGGCGCAGGTCCTGCCGCCTCTGGGGTGCGTCTCGCCGGCACCACGGCGCCCGCTCGGTCGGGAGACCTGCCTCGGCTCCCGGCGGCGCGCACTGGCCGGGGGCGCGGGGCGCACGCGGGGGCCCGCGGGAGGCGCTCGGGGCTGGCCCCGCCAGCGGCGCCCCGGCTCCACACGGGCTGAGTCCCGCGGCCCCAGGGCCGGCCCGGGGCTCCCACGCGCCCCTCCCCCGGGGCAGGTGGGGAGACTTCCGCCCTGGGCCCACCTCCGGGACCCCCGGCGCAGATGAATATCAAACCACGCCGGCAGCGCCGGGGCTGGGAGCCGGCCGGCCACGCCCTGCGACCTTGGGTGAAGCGCCCGCGCGCTCCCTTTCGCCGCCGCAAAGGGGCAAAATCCTGAGGCTTTCCCAGCGGCCGGAACCCCTCCTGGGCCGAGGACCCGCAGCCCGCAGCCCCGCGGCCGTCCAGCCCGAGGCAGGGCTGCCTTCGCGGGGGCCGCCCGCTGCTCCCTCCAAGGGTCGGGAAAGTGGGGCGTCACCGCCTGGGTTCCAGACAGCGGGGGGCCGCTTCCCACCCCTGGGCTTCGGACGGGGCCGGGCGGCACGCACCCTGGACGCTCCCCCCACCGCTGACCCCGGGGCAAGCGCCCCCACCCGCGCCTCCCGCCCAGCGCCCCAGGGCGCGGCCACAGGGGCGTCGGGGAAGAGCCCCAGGTGACGGCTGGAGGGGCCGCCGGCCGCCCGAGGCGAGGACACAGCGCTGACAGCGCGCGGGACGCGGCGCCGGGCGCGCGGGGCTCCCGCCCTGAGGCGGTCCGCGAGGCCCGCGGGGGGCGCGGCCCGAGAGCGCGCGGGGACGCCGGACCAGCCCGCAGCCCGGTGGGGCCGCTCGCCCCTCGGGCCCGGCGCCGCCCTGGGAGCGCGCGCACCCCACGCACCCCTGCGCACCTCGCGGCCACGGGAGGGGCCGGAACCGCAGCCGCGCCAGCTCCCCGGGCCCCGCCCGCCCTGCCCCGCCCCGGCCCGGCCCGGCCCCGGCCCCGGCGGGCGCCCCCCGCGGCGCTGCCCCGCCCCCGCCGTCCCGCGCCGCCCCGGGCCCCGGCCCGCCGCCCGGCCGCCGGCCCACCTGGCGCAGCGCCGCCTCGGAGCCCGCGCAGACCCGCGCACCCCGCGGCCGCAGCAGGGCCCAGCGCCGCCTCGCCAGCTCCAGGGCCCGGCCCGGCCCGGCGCCGCGCACCCGGGGCGACTCGCGCTCCGCGCTCCGCCGCCGGCGATGGCCCCGCTCGCGCACGTCTTTTTCCTCTGCTGCCTGGAGCAGGCGCTGGGCAGCTACCCGATCTGGTGGTGAGTCGGCCTCGCGTTCGCCCCCGCCTCGGTGCGGTCCCGGGCGCGTCTCCCTCCGCGCCCACTTTCCACCCGTCGGAGCCGCGGCCCGGGCGCGGGCGGCGGCGCTTCCGGGGCCTCGATCCGCCGCCCGCCGGGGCGAGCCAGGTCGCCGCGGCCCCGGGCGTCGGCGCGCGGACGGGGCGAGCAGGGGGCTGGAGAGGCGGGCGCGGAGCCGCGCGGGTGGCACCGACGCGAGCAGGGCAGCCCGAGGCCACGAGGGCGCGCGCGGGAGGGCAGACTCGCTGGAGACTTTCCTGCAGGACCGTGCCTTGCGCGCGCGCCCACACACACACACACACACACACACACACACACACACACTTTAAAACAAAGTCAGGGAGACAAGACCGAACAGCTCGAAGCGGCGCGGTTACGTAAAGACAGCGGGGACCGGCCAGGAGCGGCGCGGCCGCCGGCGGCGGGTGCCCCGCGCCCAGCCCCAGCCTCTCCGCGAGCGCCGCCGGGACCGCCAGGGCAGCGGGGCCGCCGGTGGGGCTCGGAGGGAGGAGACGTGGAGGCCGCGGCCCCCCCGCAGCCCAGGATCACCCAAGTGCGAGGCCGGGGCGCTTGGGGCCTCGCCAACCAGGCATGTGCAGAAAGACCCCTAAACCAGGCGCCGAGCGCGCAGAGAAGCCCCGGGAGCGCTGCACAAGCCGCGGGGGGACGGGGTTTACCTGCCTGGAGGAATCTAATTCGACAGTCGCCGCAGGCAAAGGTACCCCGCCCGAGGTGGGGGTGCTCCGGGCGCCCCACTTCTGACGGCTGCAAGGGGAGTGCGGCGGCCGCCGGGGCGCGCGGCGAGGAGGCGCGGCTGGAGAGCGGGCGCGCGCGGAGCCCTCGCGACGGCTCTCCGGGACGGGCCGCGGGCGCGCCGAGGGGCGGGAGCGCGAGCGCCCGGGAGCGTCTAACCCCGTAAGCGTTTCCCTCGCAGGGCGCTGGGGCGGAGGCAGGTGCGGGCCGGGCGCCGGGACCCCCCGCGCCCCGCGGCACCTGCGCGTCCCCCCGAGGGCGGCCGGGCACGGAGAGCGCCCCGAGCCGCCGGCTCCCCCGCCCGGGGTCTAATTAGAGCCGCCGCCGCGTTCCGGGCGCGCGGGGAAGCGCCCCCGCCCCGCCCCGCCCCCACAGGTCCCCGCCGCCGCCTCGGGCGCTGGGGCATCGCGGTCCCGCCCCGGCCGCCGCGGGGAGGGGACCTGGGGCTCCTCCGGCCGCGCCCCGCCCGCCTCGGGCAGCCCCGCCGAGGGAAGGGGCGCCGCACCCCTCCCTCTTCTCCCGAGAGGGGGGGCACGCGACCTCACGGCTCCCGGCTCACGACCCCTCCCACGTCTTCAATGCCCCCAGGTGAGCTGACAGTGGAGGGGCCCCTGGAAATAAAGGGGGCTCCTCCTCCCCCCCTTCCCCTGCCCCCAGCAGGGCCTTGGGCTGCGCACAGCGGCTCACCTGCCCGTCCCCGTGAAGCCACAGGCCCCGCCGAAGTGAGAGTGGCCGCCCCGCACCTGGGAGGAGAACAGCCCAGAGCAGTTCTGCTTTAAAGGCAGGGGGTGGGGTCCCCGCTTCCCAGCACCTTCGGGAGCCCCCTCACCCCAAGGCAGGTCCAGAGACCAAAGACTGAGCCCAGAGCTGGCAGGCCCGGGCACAGGTGAGGGCCAGGCCCCTCCCCCTCTTCCCCAGGGGATTCCTGTGTCAGGACAAGTGGACTGGGGTGCCTGGGGAATAGCAGGCAGCAGCTCCAGGACCCCTGGGGGGCGCCAGCTCCCCTCCCGCTGCGGGGGGCTTGTGCCAGCCCCTGCCCACATGCCCAGCCTGGGCTTGAGGGGTGGGCCTCGCCCTCCACTTGTCCAGGGGCTGGGACCCTGCACTGCCACCTTCCCGCAAACCTGCACACGCCTGGGCATCACCTGTGGGCGGCCCAGCCCCTCCCATCAGGGCCACACCAGGCGCAGCCAGCAGTGTCGGGTCCTCCTGCGATGCACCCCCACACTGGCCGTGCCCACTCTCCCCAGCTGGGCACTGGCCTGGCCAGCGTCCTGCCCACCATCTGGAGCCACTCCTGCAGCCCCCTCCAGGCTCCTCAGTCAGAGGGGTGCTCAGCAGGGCCGCAAGGCTCCCATGCCCTCGCAGAGCCGGCTTCAGAGCTGGCCTGCACCCCAGCAGCCCCCAGGCGCCATCCCTTGCCCCTGCACCCCCATCTCGGCCTGAGCAGCGGTGGGGTATCCCTCTGGAGTGGCCATGACAGCAGGAGGCCCCCAACACAGCAGGTTTGGGGTGCCGGGAGCACCTCCTTTACTGAGGGACATGGTTGGCAGTGGCCACAAGGAAAAGCACAGTCACTGAACCCAGCACCCGGCTGGGCCCCGACCCCCCAGGCTTGGCGCTCCAGGTGCTGGGCCCAGGAGACCCAGCCAAGGCCCACTTGCCCACGGGGTCCTCAGTGGCCCGGGCAGGGGAGCAGGCTTTGCCCACGGACACGGGTGGGTGGGCAAGAGACAGCGCCGAGGAGTGTGCCTGCACCCCGTGGGCACCCTGGCTCAGCTCTGCCCAGGGCAGGGCAGATGGGCCCTGGGGGAGGGCGGGGGGCGGGGCCCTCCCTGAGCAGGACCAGGAGCCCCAGCTCTGACCTGGCCAGTGGCAGGACAGGATGCCCAGGCCCGGGGCCTCAGCACTGGGACTTGCGTGGCCATTGTCCCTGGAGGCTGGGATGCTGCTGGGGTGTCCTGGGGCCCTGAACTTGATGCTGGTCCAGCCGGCAGGCATGAGCGGCCCGGGACCTCCCTCAGCATCCCCTCTTGGGCGTTGCCCCAGGCTCCACAGGGACCCCACTCCAGGCCGGAACACCTGGCCGCGCCTCCGGTCTGCACCCCTTGTGCCCCGAGTTCTGTTCAGGGAACAGAGCAGAGGACGGGGCCATCCCCGCAACAGCCCGCTGGCTGGGGCTGGGACCTGCAGGGGAGGCAAGCACAGCCCAGGGCACGCTGCCTCGGTCTCCCTCCCTGCTCCCCGGTGACACCCGAATGCTTCACACTTTGGGGCTGCAACATTCCTCCCCCACAAACGCGAGGCTGTGCCGGGAAGCAGGCTGCTGTGAGCTGTGGCACCGGCGCCTGTGCCCGCCTGCCGGGGCTTGTCAAGTATGTGTCGGTAATCCCGGCCCGGCCGGCGGGCAGGCGGCGGCACGGGTCGGGGGGGGGGCTGATCGGGCAGGCGGGGTCTCCCGGCTCCAGGACCAGGGTCCCAAGACCCCTCCCCACGCCCCCTCCAGCTCCAGGGTAGGACCTTCGGCGAGGCCCCGCAGGGGAAAGAAGGTGAGCTGACCACCAGGGCGCCCAGGCTGCCAGCTCCTGGGCAACGCCTTCTAAAGGGACGGGCTGCCCATCTCACTGGACAGCTGTCCCACGGTCCAGGGAGGGCCGAGGCCCGGCTGTGCCATGGAGGCCCTGCAGCCCGTGTGCAGCGCCAGGCCGAGGTCTGCATGGGTGGGGGCTGGGCCTCCCTCAGGGCTCTGATGGGATATGTGGGATATGTGGGCCTGGGAGAAGGGCTCTGTGGGGTCCCGGTGGACCTGGCGGGGCCAAGCCCAGAGGAGAGGCCCGGGAGGACCCCAGCACCCCTACCTCTAGCCTGGGTGCCTCAGGAGTGTCCCCGGGTGCTGGCCCAGTGCAGAGCACCCGCCCGAGTCTCCTCGGGGTGCCGTTGGCCCCTCCGCGCACTGCACAGGGGCCCTGGCTGGGGCTCAGCACCCCAGAGCCGGCCGCACCAGGCCACTTGGGCAGGGAGCAGCCAGCAGGCCTCTCTGGCACCAGGCCTGGGCCACGGCTGTCCCACCGGGTGCTGCCCAATCCCCGCCTGCAGGACAGCGGTGAAACCCCCCCAGCCACGTGGCCCTGGCCACTCTCCATGCACATGCGTGTCCAGGGCTGAAGGCCACGCCCCTAGGGAGCAGGTCGTCACTGGAGGCCGATGTGATGCTCCCAAGGCCCTGGCCGCTTGCCCAGCAGAGCGTTCTGCTGAGCCTCGACTCAGCTCCCTGCCTATGGCCTCTCCGGGGGACCCCCAGGGTCCTGGTGCAGGCTCGGGGAAGGCCACCATGGTTGAGGATCAGGGACTCTGGTTTGGAGAGGCTGGGGAGGGCTCCCCAGCCGGGGTGAGCACTGGACGCTCCTGCCTATGGGCTGGCGTGCAGACAAGGGGCCTGTCCCTCAGTGCAGGGCAAGGTGACGGGAGGGGGTTGTGGGAAGCCAGGCACCTCCCACCCCAGGGGGGTAGGGCCCTGGCCAGCAGGTCAGCCCCCCTGGGAACAGCAGTGCCCCCCCAGTCAGCTTTCCCTGGGCCAAGGGACCAAACCATCTAGCAGGGACAGTGGCGGGGAGATTGCGCCCCACAGTGGGCTCAGGCCTCACTGCCCGGCACGAGGGGCGTCCCCACGGCAGTGCTTGCCTGCCCCGGAGCCCCTGTCCCTGGAGCGAGTGTCCCGGGTGGCCCCATCCCCATCCTGGCCTCGGTTGCTCACCTGCAGAGCTTGAGAACCAAGGGGGAGACGGCAAGGCCCCAGCCCGCGACGCCAGGTGAGAGGTCAGCGTCCACACTGTGACCCTCCCTGATCTGTCTCCTCCTGCGATGGCCTTAGGCCTGGGGTGGGGGTCAGCAGGGCCTGGGCTGGAGGGCGGCCAGAGCACACAGGCCACCTCTGCCCACTGGGTGCCCCGCGCCCATCCCCTCCTGAAGGCCGCACTGGAGCCTGCTGGACGAGCCCCAGGCTGAGCCAGGAGGAGCCCCTGGCTTCCAGGCTGAGGGTTGGACCTGAAGAAGGCGGGGTCCTCGCCCGCAGGCCAGCCCGGCACCCCGTGGGGCCCGCCCGGAGGGTCCAGTCCTCAGCTGGCCAGGGGTGCATGGCCCGTGGGGGGTGGAGTCGTGGGGGTGGCTGCCCGGATGTCTGCGTCCCCACACCTCTGGTGTGGTGGTGTTAGAGGGCCTTGTTGGTGGTTCCCGTTACAGGTGGTCACGGACTGGGGTCCCGCGGGGCAGGGGCCTCCCTGCCTGCGCCACGGGGATGTGTCCGGCTGTGGATGGGACCGGCCCCCGATGGGTCAGTGGGCACATGTGCAGGTGGCATTCGCCACTCACACACGTGCACACACGTGCAGGCACACACCCGCTCGCAGCCCCCTGCCCCACCTGAGCAGAGCCCGCTGTCCCCACCAGGCACGGGCAGCCGGCCCCAGGGGGCGATGGCCATGGTGGGGGTGTCCACAGGCTCCACCGCCCTCCATGCTCGCCTGCTGGGGCCGGGCCGGACTCTGTGACCCAGAAGTAGGAGGTGGACTCTGCTGCCCTGGCCGTGGCCCCCCACAGTGCTGCCTCTGCTCCGGGCCCTGACGAGGCCCCCACCTTCTCCACGAGAGGCCTGCCCTGTGGCAGAGTGTCCAGCTGGGGCCCCTGCACCACGGAGCTGGGATGCACGTGGCACCAGGCAGCCTGGCTGCAGCCAGGGAGCACATGATGGTGTCCACTGTGCTGTGATCGCCAGACTGACCTTCAATGTGCCCCCAGGGCCGGGCCCAGCACCTCCAAGGGTCCTCCCCAGGGAATTCAAGCTGCGGGGCTGCCGGCCGGCTGCAGGCTTGGAGGAGGCCGCCGCAGGGGAGCCGGCTCCCGGGGACAAGGCGAGCCAGGGCCTGCCTGGAGCAGGGCTGGGGTGGGGAGCTGACTCAGCACCCCAAGAGGCTGGGGAGAAGCTGCGACTGGAGCCCCACTCTTGCTGGGAGCTGGGGAGGGGAGGGACAGGACAGCGGGAACCCACGGGCCCTCTTAGCCGCGTCCTGAGGCCTCACATGCATGCACACACACACACACACACACACACACACACAGGGCTGGTGAGGGGCCTCTGGGGAGAGCTTCCCCTGGCTCCTTGGCTGCCCCCGCGGGAGCCAGCAGGCGGCTCCAGGCTCGCTGAGGCCACTCGACCAGCCCCTCCCATCCAGCGCCAGCTTGCTCGGCCACACGCGGCCCCGCCTGCCTGCTCACTGCACACCCCTGCCAGGTCCCGCACAGAGTGCCCTGTGGTCCAGCCACCAGAGGCCAGCGCCTGTGCTCACAGGCCCTCAGTGCCCGCCCATGTGGCAGACGGTCACCCCACATGCACCCCGGCCCCTGCGCCAGGGTCCCGGGGACTCCTAGGTACGGACACAGCAACCACCGGCCTGACCCAGGGAGGCCACCACTGCCCCTTGTCCACCCGAGTCAGGTCCCGTCTGAGGACCCTGCTGCCAGCACAGAGCAGGGAGAGCCAGTGGGTGCCCCCCCAGAGTAGCCAGCACCTGCTTCCCACGGGGTAGGGGTGGACATGGAAGGCTGAGCTCAGCCTGGGACAGCCGAGTACCCACATGTGCTGGCCAAGGGGGACTCATGGCAGGTGACACGGATGATGTGAGCACAGGGCGGCGGACGCTGCCCAAGGAAAGGCTGACCGCTGGGTGGCGAGGCCGGGGTCCTGGGCTGGGGGTGGCAGGGGGAGCCCCGGATGCAGGGTGGGGCAGCCGTGGGTCTGGCACCCGGTCCCAGGCGGGCGGGCTCACGGGGCCTTCGGGGGACAGCAGGATGGGCACCCCAGGGCAGCGACCAGGCCAGGGACACACGAGGAGCCCAGGAAGCCAGGAGACTGGCCTGAGATGTTGGGCCTCCACCAGGCACCCCGGCGGCAGCGCAAGATGACTCGGGGATCCTGGCCGGCCAGCTCAGCTCACAGAGGGCCCGGCAGGCGGCGGTGCAGGGGACACTCGCGGGGGCCACCCACAGCTTCTGGGGGCTCTGCCATGCGAGGCTACGGCCCCCGTGCCCCCATCTGCCCAGACAGGAGGTCACACGGGCAGGCCAGAGGGACGAAGGCGGGGCCGTGGGGCACAGTGCTGGGGGCCACAGAGACACTCCCGACCCATGTGGGCAGGGGCTGGGAGGGGGTGGGGGCCAGGCCCAGCCTGCCGTGCAGCCCCCTCCGTGCGCCGGGCTGAGGGCTAGGAGGGGAGGGCTGCGGGACTGGGCTGCCTACGGGGGCCACACGGAGACCGAGCCCTACAGCTTCTCATGCTGCCCAGCCACAGCGCGTGCCGTGGGGCTGACCGCCCAGGAGCATGGCAGCTGCGCCTGGGGCGGGGAGGGGCCTGCAGGCCGTGCTGTCCAGTTGGCCATCCTCTGGGGCCGTGAGGTGCCTGCTTCGGTCCCTATGGCCATGGGATTGCAGAGGAGCCCACCAGGGCTGGCCCCTCAGGCAGCGCATCCCTTGGTGCCCGCCGTGTGCTGGGTGTGGCAGGGACAGGGTGGGCTCTGTGCAGCGCCCCCAGGCCATGCCTGCTGCAGGGCAGGGGCGGGGTGGCTAGAACCCCTCCCACGGGCAGACTGGATTCCTGAGCCCACAAGTGTCTGCCGGCCTCTCCCACTGTGACGGCCCCCACACCCTGCGCCCAGGCTGGCCCCCAGCGCCAGGGCCCATTGGGCCCCGGGCACAGCCACCGGGGTGCCGGCTGGCCGCCTGGACCGCGTGGCCAGGGCCACTCCCACTGACCGCTGCCCCCGCCCCACAGGTCCCTGGCCATGGGGCCCCAGTACTCGGCCCTGGGCACGCAGCCCATCCTGTGCGCCAGCATCCCTGGGCTGGTCCCCAAGCAGCTGCGCTTCTGCCGGAACTACGTGGAGATCATGCCCAGCGTGGCAGAGGGCGTCAAGGTGGGCATCCAGGAGTGCCAGCACCAGTTCCGGGGCCGCCGCTGGAACTGCACCACCGTCAGCCGCAGCCTGGCCATCTTCGGCCCCGTGCTGGACAAAGGTACCCGGCTCCCCAGCCCCGGGCAGCAGCCCCGAGGCCCATGGGGGATGAGGGTGGGTGGCACCGGGCACTCTCAAGGGTCCTGGAGCGGGGTGCCGGCCCACTCGGCTGCTCCCCACTGCCATGGAGCAGAATCCTCACCAGTGGCTATCGGAGCTGGGGCTGCATCGGCTGCTCTGGCATCCCGGGCCACAGCAGGGTCCTGCCGGCCCTGGTCCCTGAGGCCTGGGTGGGGATGGCCCTGGCAGCCTCTGCAGCTGACCTGGGCTCCTGTAGACCAAGGGTGGGCCTGGGGGACAGGCTGGAGCACAACGTCTTCAAGACTGGTCAATTCAGCGGCTGCGGAGACCCAGGGAGGCGCCCGTGGCACACATCCCATGTGGGCTCCCGCCTGCCCAGGGCCCTCGGGCACCTGACGCTGCGGGCACTCCTGTGCCGGCCTGCCCCCCACTCTGGGGCACCTTCCCAGCAGTGGGGTCGCAGGGCCCCAGGTAATTCTGCTGGTCTCTGAGGACCGGCCAGGCTGTCCCCACGTGGCTGCGCCGTTTCACCTCCCACCAGCCACGCATGGCGAGGCCAGCGTCCCCACGACCTGGGGTACCTGCCGGCCAGGCCCTTCCCCAGCAGGTGCCCAGGCCTGCGCCCGCGCTGGGGGCAGCTCTGCAAGGGGCTGTTGGATGCCTGGACTCTTCCTCAGGGAACATCTGGCTAAGCCCTTTGTCCAGTCCACAGCCGGCTTGGCTGCTTGTGTTTGTGCGGGGTGTGCGGCCTCGTGCTGGTGCCGGATGCCACAGGAAGTGCGACTGGGTCTGCAGACACCCCCAGGCTGCCCCAGGGAAGCAGCCAGGCCTAAGGTGGCACAGGCCCGAGGTGGCACAGCCCGCACGGGCGTCGTCGAGAGCCGTTCCCGTGTCGCGGTCCTAGCATTCGATTCATTTCGCGTAGATTCTCACGCGCAGTGTGAGGAAGGCTGGGGCTCCGCCTGTGCGGGGAGACTCGGCTCCGGCAGGCCTCCTGCTGAAGAGACACTCCTTCCCCCGTGCAAGGTCCTGGGCGCCCTACTGAAAGGCCACCGGCCGCGCGTATCTGGCTTGACCTCTGGCCTGGCAGTCCCGCTGGGGTCTGCGGCCCGGCCTGGGCACCCGCTGCGGCTGCAGCTTCTCGTGTGCTTTGGAGTCTCCCATCTTTGTTTTCAGAGGGTTGCTCTGGTTCGGGGTGTCCCTTGCATATGAACTGTAGAAGCGGCTTTTCCAGGCCTTCTGGGCTCCAGGGATGGACGGGGTCTGCTGGTTGCTTTGGAGAGCACAGTCAGCTCCAGCACGCCAGGTGCCCGGAGCCCCCGGCCGCCCCTCTGACCGCTTCCCCTCAGCGGACACGCAGGTTTCCATGCCCAAGTCTCGCCCGCCCTCGTGTAATGGAGCCGCTGGCGGTTTATTCTCCCGCTGCTGCTACAAAGTGAGTTACTTCCCCATCTCCTTTTGGACCATCTAGTGCAAGTGTTTAGACACAGACTTGGCCTCTGGGTGCTGCGCGTGTCCTGCATCTCTGCCAGCTGGGCAGGTGCTGAAGGAGGCGCCCGGTCAGAGGCACAGGCTGGGCAGGGCCACAGCCCTGAGTTGGGGGTGGGGCAAGGCCGCAGTTCTGTCTGGCAGAGGGCACCCATCTCCCCTTACTGGGGGTTGCCCAGGCCGGCTCTCATCGCAAGTTCCATCAGCCATGGCCTCAGCACTCCCGAGTCCAGCGGTCTAGGCGGTCGGTGGCCCGGCATCCCCCACGGGCCGACCCCTGGGCCCCTGCCTGCAGCCGTCCGGGAGCCCAGTCAGACGGCACCCGGTCCACAGGCAGCCTCTGGTCTCCTGCCTGCTCCGCTCCGGTCTCTGACGGCCTCTGGACATCCCATGTGGGGCAGGTCCCGGGCATCAGTCCGTTGCGGCCACCCAAGGCTATCCATCCCGCATCCGGAGGCGTCTTCCAGGGCACCGGGTCAGCGCTGTGGGCTGCCCCCGCCCACCTGCCAGGCGGCTGGGGCCGCAAGGAGGCGGCAGGGCCACGCAGGGAGGGGCCCCACCGAGGGTTGCTGTGTCCTCCACCGCACCTCCCCCAGTCCAGGACTGGGCACTGCAGCAGTCGCCTGGAACCCGCCCTTCCCATGGCTGCCCACTCGCAGCAACCCTCATGCCAGCCGGCCCCTCTCCTGGCCTCTGCCTGCGCCACCCTCACCGAGCAGCAGCCTGAGTGGAAGCGCCGGGCTCCTCTGCTCCAGGCCTTATCCTGCAGCTCAGCCCAGTCCCCCCAGAGCCAGGGGGCCCGGATGGCAGGAGCACACCCAGCACAGGGCTCAGGGGGTGCCGGTGTGGCTGGGTGCCCCCGGGCACGTCAAGGGTACTTAGAGGGAGGTGCTGAGCACCTGCTGGGGCCCAGGAGGCCCCAGGGGACATGGCGCTGAGCTGGGTGGAGAAGGGCTCCCCCCTGCCTGGGGTGTGAGGCCTCTGTGTGCCAAATGGGGAAACTGAGGCAGACAGGGCTCCACAGCCCTCCTGAGGATGGCCGAGGGGCCGCAGGAGCCTGAGGGCTCCCTGGGGCCTGTGCCGGGGCTGATGCGCCCAGGCCCCTCCGTGGCCCATCTCCTGGGAAGCAGGGGCTCTGGGCTCCACACAGCTGCGGGGAGCCCATGTCCACACACCTGCCTCCGCCCTGCACCTCTGGTCCTTCTGTCTCAGGGTCCTCCCCCACTTTCTGCTGGTTGAGGCGCCGCTGGCACTGCCACCCCCTTGCTTTCTGTGGCAAAGGGGAGCCCCTCGCCCCCGTGTCTGCCACCAGGCTGAGAAATGGCCAGGCCCATTGTGGCGCAGAGCTGAATGGCCGGCAGACGGGGCCGCCGCGCCCCAGGGAGAGGCCGGCTCCGGAGGCCATTGTGGAAACCCCTCGGCCGCCACCGTCTTGCAGTAATCAATCTGATGGGATTAGGGTCAGGGCGACCCTAATCGTGTCAGAGGTCATGCAGCCTTTGTGGCTGGCCCACAGGACGCCTGGCCACCCCTGCTGAGGTGGCCTCGCCGACAGAGCTCAGCAATGCCTGCAGCCGGGGTGTCTGCGGCCAGGGTGCCTGCTCCTGTGAGCGCTGAGCCCCCCGGGAGCCCTGAGCACCTCAGGGTGCAGGGTGGAGCCTCTGAAGGAGCACTCGTGCTCACAGCTCCCCTCCCAACTCCCTCCCCCATCTGCCAGGCTGGGGCTGGGGGCGCAGGTGGTGCACCCCAGCAGCCAGCTCTTGGGGCTGGGCACTGAGTGCCTGCTCCCCGGACCTGCTCTGGCGACGGGGAAGCATGAGAGGAATTTTGAGTGGAGGAGGAGGCTGGTGCTCCAGGCTTATCGGTCCCGCAAGGCCCCGGGACTGCCCACAGGCTCGCCTGAGCTGGCCCACTCCCTCCTCTTGACCCCGGCAAGGGGAAGGACGTGCTGGGGAGGCTGGTCCAAGGGCCCAGGGAAGCAGCGGACATGTCAGGAGACCGGCCAGACCTGGGCCTTGGAGGCTGGCCCGAGGAGACTGCTGGACTGGCCAGGGAGCGGGCTCTTGGTCCTGCGGGCATTTCCCCTGGAGGAGTGGAAAGGGGACGGAGGGGTGAGGGAGGCCCAGGGCCCCAGGGAGGCCAGGCCACCGCGGTGGGGAGCATGGCAGGGCCAGCCAGAGGAGCAGGGCTGGGGGCCCTGCTGGGGATGGGGCAGGCTGGGGGAGACCGGCTGCCCCTCCTGCCCCTACCCACGTGTGCCTGCTGGCCTCCCCTCTGCGCGTGCAGTGGCCGCCCTGACTCACCGCTCCCAGGGTCTGCAGCGACCTGGCCCCAGGCAGCAGCCTGGGCTGGGTGGGCCCGCAGAGCCCCGGGGCAGGTCCGTAGTGTCCGTTCTCAGCGCCCAAGGCGGTGCCCCTGGTCAGCCTGGGACAGGGCCCACGTGTGCCAGCCTCTCCCGGGCCTCCGTGGGGGCCGGGCGGGGCGCGGGCCTCCGAGGCCTCCCTGGGTGTCCCCTGCCTGGGGGGCGGCCCTGACACCCACGCCCGGGCTCAGGAGGGGCCCTGGAAGCGCACCCCCATCCAGGTTGTGACCTCTGACCCCCATCGGAAAGTGTTTCGCTTCGGGAGGGGGCTCTGCCGGCCTGGCGCCCTCCCCGGTATATCATTAACTTCCCCAGTGGGAGGGGTGAGGGGCCAGGACAGCCGGACACCCCGCCGCGCCCGGCTCCGAGCACAATATCCCCGCCACGACGACAAGATTAAGCACAAGAGAAAAGCGAGGGGCTGCGGGCGGTTCACACGCCCCCGGGGCCGCCCCGCGCCCTGAATAGCGCGCGCCCCTCCGCCCGGCCGGGCGCGCATACCTCCCGGTTGCTATGACTGGCTTGCCATGGCCTAATCGCCGACGAGGGGGAAATTCATATAAAATATCGCGGGCCATTGTGGGCCTAACGCGGCGTGACAGTGGCGCACAAAGCCGGATTCATTAGCCCCAGCAGGTAACCGGGCCGGGCGCGGGTGTCGGGGCCGGCCTGGCGCGGGTGCATTCCGCTCTCAGGTGGCTCCGCCTTTGTGCCCGGGATTACCGAGCGGCCGCCGGGAGGGTGGGCCGCGGGGGGCGAGGCCTGTCGCGGGGGCCAACGTCCCGCCGCCCCCGCCCGGGCGAGGCCGCCGAGGAGGCCGCTCGGCAGGCCCCGGGGTGGACGCTCTCCGGCGGCCACGGGAGACGGGACGCAGCGTCGCTGGCCCGAGGGCCCGCTCGCCTGTGCGAGGCCGGCCACCCCGAACCTGCCTGCCGTCCCCTCTGCTCCCCAACGCCAGGTGCCCCAGAGGGCGGGGGCCTGTGTGCCGGGGCCCTGGCCAAGGCCTGGGCTCTCCAGGCCCTACCGGGGGAGGTAGGCAGGAGAGGCACCCCAGGGGACTCCGGCCTTAGGGAGGTGCTGCCTCCACCCTGGGCTCCCCAAAGGCCCCGCCAGCAGCGTCCACAGGCACACACTCCTCGCCAGCGCCTGGGGAAAGACTGGGCCTGGGCAGGGCCGGCCAGCCTGTGGGTGGGGCTCCGTCCCCACAGGGCACCCAGAGCGGTCCCTGAGGGTGGGGCCCTCCCCAGGCAGTCCCTGCAGCGGCTCAGCTTGGAGATGGGCCCCGAGGTGACAGGAGGCCTGCCCCTCCCAGCCTGCTCCTGCTGGTGCATGGGCAGCGCCTCCATCTGGCCTATGGTCAGGGCCCTGCGGAGGCACAGCCTGGCCAGCGGAGCAGTTTCTGAGCAGGCATCTGCGCAGCTCCCAGGGAGCGGTCACCAGAGTCCCAGAGCCGGGAGGCGGAGGGGACAGATGGCATGTGCCTCTGGCAGGGAGGTGGTGGGGAGGCCCGTCACAGGCGCTGCGTTAGCCTCGGCGGGGACATTTGACCTGTGGCCCCCAGCACCACACAGAGGAAAGGCCTAGAGCCAGGCCCACCGGGGACACATCAGAATTGCCTGGGCACCCTTTGCAGAGCGCCCACCCCAGCCGTGCCAGGCAGTCCCTGCAGAGCCTCCGAGCGCCACCAGGCCCATGCCCAGACGCTGGTCACCGCCAGTGGCCACGCCTCAACACCGTCCCCTCCCAGGAACTCCTACAGGAACTGCCCCCCGGGCTCGGCCACTGGGCTCTGGCTCCTCTGGCAGACTCACCCCAAGGGCCTGCCCAGCAGGCCGCAGCGCCCCCCTCTCTCCAGCATGCGTCCTGCTGGTGACTAAGCAGTTTCCAGCTCTCCCTGGAGATGCGGTGCCTCCCACAGGCGTGGTTGCCTCCTGTGTGAACAGGCGCAGGATGCCTGCCGCGCTGCCCACCACTGGCTGGGGTCAGGGTCTGAGCCTGTTCCTCCTCCGAGACTGGGGGGCAGGTGGGGGTCACCTCCTCCCTCACCCCCTGGAGACCTGGCAAGACACCATCCTCCATTTAGGAGGAGCTGCCCCTGCATCCCTGAGCCCTGCATCAGGAGCCCCCCATGGGAGGCCTGTGGTTGGGGGTACCGCTCAGGACTCGGAGTGCGCTCTGACTTTCTCTTTTTCTTTTAATTTTTTTTTTAAAGATTTATTTATTTATATAAGCACTGGGGACACTGCCGAGGGGAGCAGCGGGCGGCAGGAGAGGTCTGCGCGCCATGTGGGACCCTCCTCCGGTGGCCGGGGAGCAGCCGGGGGTCGAACTGGCGCTGTAGAGGCTGCGGGCAGCTTCACAGACCAGCGCTCAACCGCTGCGCCACCAGGGGAGGCCCATGGTCTGACTTTCTCTTTGGAAATAGTTGTAGACGCGCAAAAAAGCCAAGGCCCCAGAGCCCGCTCCCCAGCCCCCTCCCGGGCAGCCTCGCACAAACCCAGCTGCACCTGTGAAAAGGGAAACACCCCCCCACCCCCCAGCACACACTAGTGTGACTGATCCCGCCGGCCTGTCCCTCAGCTCCCTCAGCGCCTGGGGGGGCCTTGGGCTTGTGTGACATTTCCTGGCCTTTAGGTGCAGGCTCCGCAGGTCCAGTGAGGGCCTGAGGCGGGAGGGGCATGGCCGGGCCGCACCCCACGCCCCACCCCCGTGCCAGTCTGGGGGGGGGTCTCCCTGCCTGCACCCGCTGCGTCTGTGCCTGCGCACCGCTGATGCGCCTGCACGTGGCCTGTTCAGGGGGTTCTCTGTGACTGCAGGGCCTTTAGGTCACCCTCGACTGGGCACTCGGGTTTCTCCTCCAGGAGCCTAAGGCCTCCTCCTCTGGCAGAGGGAAGGGAGGCCCGCCGGGGAGGGACCTCCCAGGCCCGCGCCCAAGCTGTTCCCCTCCAAGTTCAAGGAGGAGCCCCACCCCTACCCGCCACCCCTCAAGTGTCTGGCAGCCGGGGTGGTTCGCCCGACCCTGCTCAGAGCCCGCAGTCCCCAGTCTCCTCTCCCCTCCATCTCCCGGGGCCGAGGGGGCTGCCGGAGGCTTCTCCTCGGGAGCTGGCCTTGCTTGTGGGGACAGGCTGGAAGTGACACCCACCTGGGGAGACCCCCACAGCCTGGGGAGGGGCAGTCTGGCCCCCACACAAGACAAAGTAGTGCAGGCCCCGGCTGGGCCTGCAGCGTCCTGGGGAGGTGGCTGCTGCCTGGTCTCCACAACGGGGGGCTTTGAGGGGACAGTCCTGGGCCCGTTCAAGGCAAACTGGACGGGGAGGTGCAGAGAACCAGACCCACGCTGCCCCTCTGCCCTGTCCGCAGCCACCCGGGAGTCAGCCTTCGTGCACGCCATCGCCTCGGCCGGCGTGGCCTTCGCTGTGACGCGCTCCTGCGCCGAGGGCGCGCCTGCCGTCTGCGGCTGCAGCAGCCGCCACCAGGGCTCCCCGGGGGCCGGCTGGAAGTGGGGTGGCTGCAGCGAGGACATCGAGTTCGGCGGAATGGTGTCTCGGGAGTTTGCCGACGCGCGGGAGAACCGGCCTGACGCCCGCTCAGCGATGAACCGGCACAACAACGAGGCGGGGCGCCAGGTGCGTGTGCCCCTCTCCCGGGGTCCAAGCCCACGCTGGGGTGGGGGGGCGCCACAGCCCTGGGGAGCCCGGGGTGCTCAGGGAGAGCCGTCCAGCCATGCCTGCATCTGGGAGCCGCCTGCAGTGGGATGTGGTTGGCTCCCTGAGGGGTGGGCTGGGGGTGGAGGGCCTGCAGAAGGGCTGGGGTCTGCTTACTGCCCAGCCCCGGCTTTCCCACAAGGTGACACGCCCACCTGGGGGTGGCCCTCATGGGTAAGGGGGTGAAGGCTTCCCCAGGCCTCCTGCAACTTGGGGGGAGAGGCCGGCACGGCAGTGGGGACTAGGCCCTGGAGAACGGGCAGGGGGTGAGCTGGGTGCAGTGGCTGCGGCCTCAAGAAAGACCCAGCTGTGGTGATGGGAGGGCATGGGGGGGCGGGGGCAGAGAGCCCCCAGGCCACCTGGAGGGCAAGGCTGAGCTGAGTCATTGTGCACAGAACAGGGAGCCCAAGACAGAAGAAGAGGGTGGGCCAGCACACCATGGCCAGCGTGGCCTTGCTGAAGTGCAGGGCCAGTGGGGAGCGCTCAAGGGGTGCCACAGGCAGGAGCCGCATGTGTAGGGACTGGGAGGGGTCCAGCAGGCTGAAGAAGGGGCAGGAGCAGTCAGCTTCTGACACAGAGAGCAAGGCAACTCCGGCTGACTGCCCTGTGAGAATGTGTGCTCACCTGTGCCCACCTGTGCTCACCTGCTCACCTGTGCCTACCTGTGCTCACCTGCGCACAGAGCCGGGTTCCCACAGGGAAGACGATGCAACACAGAGGGAGAGTTGCTCTTCGTTAAACGCTTCTCAGCCTGCTGGACACCAGATGGAAACCTCACAGCACACATAAACCAAGCACAAGGCTACAGGGTTGGGCCAACCAGAGCTATGTGTGGAGGAAATGAGAGATCTCTGTAGCCCTGGGTAGGCAAAGGCTTCTTAGGTAGGTGGAAAAAGCACGGTGAAGGCAAAACACGGCAACATGGGCCGTATGGAAAGGAGGGACAGCTGTTCATAAACGATATGGATGGACGTCCACACACGTCCACATTCCAACAAACATAAAAGCTACCATAAAAAAGAGCTCTGCACACGAGTGAGGGAAAGATCACCCAGTAGAAGAACTAGCTGAAGGGTGGAGAGCCGCTTCACAGAAGATGTTACAGGGACCCCTCTCCCTGCCCTGTAACAAAGACAGCATAGACATGGCGCGGCCCGGGGCCAGGTGCCGGATGTCCTGGTGGCCAGGGGACCGCCCGCACCTGTGCCCTGCGGGGCAGCGCCCGGGGGCGTGTGGGAGGCTGAGGACAGGGGCGAGTTTGCCATGCTGTGCACTTGTGACGTGTGAACTTTTTAACATACATGCCACACGATACCTCTGTGAAATGATTTTGAGTGTCAAAGGGCTGTCCTGACAGTGCGGAATTAGCTGGCCTCGGAGCCTGGTGCCTGTAACAGATGCCCAAGCAGTTTATTGACCAGAGCAGCACAAATGCCGGGTTGCGCTTCCACAGCCTCAGGGAGCTGAGGTGCTACCTCCAGAAAGCCAGCCCTCAGGCCAGGCTGGCACCCTGAGGGCTGAGGCACACCCAGAGGCAGGCCTGCCCTGGGCCAAGTGCAGGCCAGAGGGGTGCTCCGAGGGCGGCTGAAGGGGCCACCAGCCAGACCCCCTCCCTGCGGGAAGAGGCAGACAAGAGCCTGTGAGGAGGTGACCCTTATTCAGACTGAAGTTCTTGTCCATAAATAATTTTCAGACACACACCACATCCAACACGCAATCAAAGACACCTCATCATGTGAGCTGACGAGCAGCAGAGCCACAGCAGCAGAGCCTGGCGCTGGTAGACACAGTTATTGTTCTCACAGATGGTGTGAAAAATATGCCCGTTCGTCAAGTGAAAACGCAAGCTGGAACATCTCAGCCGGGAATGAGGATCACGGGAACGCCCAGGAGGCAGGTCTGGGGAGAGCCACAGGGCAGGGCAGAGTGAAGAGCAAGGGGCTTCCTGGACGTGGGCTTTCCCGCTGCACCTCCCGACTGCTACTCAGTGACAAGAAACTAATTTTAAAACCAAGAAAGAGACTCTTGAGAACATGGCAAGCAGACGAGGTGACAATGGCAAGAAAATTTTGAAAGTTAAAAGCAGATAAATGAGTACTTGATGTCTTGGTTGGCCCCAGAAAGCTGAGTCTTAAGCCAATAGAGGAAAAATCTGAGAACTCACCCAGGAATTATGAGTATCAGGTGTCTTGAGAACTGGAGGTAAACATGAGGCTGGAAAAGGAAGATTTGTAGAGGTCTATGCGAAAGGCAGGTTATAGCCCAGCTCCTCTGTCCAGGGCCTCTCTCTGCTCCTCTCTTCTGGAGAACATCTGCGGGCGTGTTCTCCGAAAGAACAAAGCAGGGGGTTCTGGACGCCACACACAGTGGAGGCCGAGGCTGCCCTGTTGAAAATGGGCGCCTTGGTATGCATTTCTCTTTCTAACCTCCAAATGCCCCGAGCCAAGGTTTCCCCGGCAAATCGGATTAACCCAAGAGAGGAGCTGCTAAGCTGGGAGTCACCCAGCGTGACCTCATGGCCTTTGCATGGCAGAGGCCCAAGTCAGCCAGTCCCTGCCATGCACAGGAGCTTCCAGTGAGCCTGTGTCTGTTTTTTTTTTTCTATTTTAACTACTTTATAGAGGCATGTTTTTTATTTATTTATTTGTTTGTTTGTTTGTTCTGTTTATACATGCACTGGGTACAGCCAGAAGCGCGGGAGGGTGAGAGAATTCACCAGAGCCAGAGCAGGGAGCAGAGCAGGCAGAAGGACCGAAGGACACTGCTGAGGGGAGCAGCGGGCGGCAGGAGAGGTCTGCGCGCCATGCGGGACCCTCCTCCGGTGGCCGGGGAGCAGCCAGGGATCGAACTGGCTCCACAGAGGCCGCGGGCGGCTTCGCAACCCAGCGCTCAACCGCTGCGCCACCGGGGAGGCCCTGTGTCTGTTCTTAAACAGGAACAGGCAGCCAAGAGTGTGCCACCTGTAAAGCCTCCAGCAACCACAAAGAAACAAGCAGACAAAACATTATAAAGGGAGATGGAAATGTCTGTAACTGTCACTGTTTAGAAAACATTCAGAGATTGGGCCCCCCTGGTGGTGCAAGGGGTTAAGCACCGCACTGTGAAGCTGTCTGCAGCCTCTGCAGCATGAGTTCGATCCCTGGCCGGCCAGGGAGCTACCCACATGGTGCAGCAGACCTCTCCTGTCTCGTCCGCTGCTCCCCTCAGCAGTGTATTTCAGTCAGTCTGCCTGTTCTGCTCCCCACTCTGTCTCTGGTGAACCTTCTCACCCCCCTGCACCTCTAGCCTGTACCCGTTTTTGTATGCATAAATAAATAAATCTTAAAAGAAAAAGAAAACATTCAAAGAGGAAAAAATAAAAGAGGCCTTAGAAATTAAAACTAAGATAGCAGAAATAAAATCTCAACAGAATGATTGACACACCCTTTCCTCAAAGTGAGAAGACAGAAAGATGGAAAATAGGAAAGATTGGAAACCAGGGAGTCTCTGTGAGAGAGAGAGAGAGAGAGAGAGAGAGTGGTGAACTGAAGAAGAGGAGGTTGGCAAAGAAACAGGCAGGACGGTGCCAGCAGCCCACAGGCCTCAGACCATACGACCGTAAGTGACTGGAAGACAAAGAGGAAGATCCAGGTCCATTCCTGTTGTCCTGAAATTCACAGCCTGTGACAGAAACTCTCAGGCTTTCCAGGACAAGGTGTAGGTTTCATGCAAAGCACCACCAGTTGAAAATGGTGTCAGTGTGTCCAAGAACAACAGTGAAAGCTAGAATGAAACAGAGAAATGCCTTGAGAAGTTTGAGGGAGGTTTTGAAGCCAAGGAATTTATACCGAGCTAAACCAGCCACTAAGTGGAATCCCAGAAACGTGAGCATCAGAGGCGGCATTTTAGCTCCATGAGGAGCGTGGGGGCTGCCCCCTGGGGCTCAGGGGTGGGGCCAACAGCCACTACAGTCCCAACTGAGGCAGATCCCTTTGTTCTGCCCCTGCCCCCCCAAATAAGGAAGGAAAGAGAACCTGCCCTGGGGAGAAATACACATGCTGGCCAGGACCCTAGCTCGAACAGCCTTATTCCCTTGCCCTGCCTCTTCTCCCCACTCCCCTGCAGTCCTTACGCCGAGTTTCCTGGGCCCTGCAGGTGCTGGGTTCTGGTCAGGGCCATCAGCCATGCCAGCCTGCACTGCCCCCCTCCTACATGCTTTGTGGGGGTCAGTGACATGTCACCTGTTTCAGCCTTTATACCTTTGCTGGCCCAGGAGAGTTGGGAGGTCCTGCCATCTGGGGATTTTGGTTGGCCAAGGGAGGCACCAGCGTCCTGACCCTGGGGGAAGAGGGTGCCTCAGGTCCAGGAGGGGCACCCACTCAGCCTGGTGTCCCTGGAGGCCTTCAGGTGGCACAGCATTTGTGGGGGGCCTGGGGCCAGACTGCAGGTGGGCAGGGACCCCTGGCAGGTGGCTGCAGAGTGGCAGGCAGCCCTGACCCCTCCTCATGCTCCCACAGGCCATTGCCAGCCACATGCACCTCAAGTGCAAGTGCCACGGGCTGTCGGGCAGCTGCGAGGTGAAGACCTGCTGGTGGGCACAGCCCGACTTCCGTGCCGTTGGGGACTTCCTGAAGGACAAGTACGACAGCGCGTCCGAGATGGTGGTGGAGAAGCACCGTGAGTCCCGCGGCTGGGTGGAGACGCTGCGGCCACGCTATACCTACTTCAAGGCGCCCACGGAGCACGACCTGGTCTACTACGAGGCCTCGCCCAACTTCTGCGAGCCCAACGCCGACACTGGCTCGTTCGGCACGCGCGACCGCGCCTGCAATGTCAGCTCTCCGGGCATCGACGGCTGCGACCTGCTGTGCTGCGGCCGCGGGCACGACGCGCGCACCGAGCGGCGCCGGGAGAAGTGCCACTGCATCTTCCACTGGTGCTGCTACGTCAGCTGCCAGGAGTGCGCGCGTGCCTACGAGGTGCACACCTGCAAGTAGTGTGCGCCTGCGCAGGGAGGGGGCTGCGGGGAGGCGCTTCCTGTCCCCCACCGCTGCTCTGGGGCCCCGGGGTGCCCTCCCCCGGCGCTCTGGCCTGATCCTGACCCCAGAGGCCCGTGACGCTCCACCCTCAGCCTGGCACCAGCCAGCGCCCTCCCAGGATGCCCCCCTGGGAGAGCTTCCGCCCCATAGAGCCCCAAGACCCAGCTCCACCTGGCTAGGTGGAGGGTAGGCCGAGCGGCGGGGTCAGGGCCCTGGGACTGGCTCTGCTTTGACCAGCCTGTACGAGGGCACGTGAATCCTCTCTGTGACTGTTGGGGCTCTCTCCCCCTCGTCCTCCCCGTCTTCACACATCCAGCCGCTCCCCATCCTGTCCACACACAGGAGCGAGGCTGTGCCCCCAGCCCGTTCCCCATCCTGTCCACACACAGGAGCGAGGCTCTGCCCCCAGCCCACCTGTGCCTCCTCCCTGCCCACGCCCACCCACAGCCCGAGGGGTCTCCCTCCTGCTGGCGGCCAGGACCGCCAGGGCCCTCCGGCCCTGGGCTGCGGGGCCAGCTGGCCCTGGCCTTGTCCTGTAGCCTCAGGATGGTGCAGGGCCCACTTCGCCCGCCCGCTTGCCCAGCCTGACAGCCAGAGACCCCTCTGGGCCCCTCGGCCAACGCCCACAGGCACAACCTGCCAGGTGCAGCTGCCCCAGACCTCGCCTCACTCAGCCTCAGCCACTGTGAACCTGCCGGCCCCAGACCCCATCCAAGGAAGCCCCAGGGCAGGCAGGCCACGGAGTACCCCACGCCCTGCAGGCACCCGCCTTCCTTGGCCCCGGCCCTGTGTTCTGGTCTCCGAAGTCTCTGCTGCTGCCCGCGCCGCACACTGGACGGCAGCCGTGGTCTCTGCTCTCCTTTTCTTTCTGTGAAAGAACACTTCCGTCGCAGCGCGTGAGTTTCAAACACTGGGAAAGTAAAAACAAAAAGAAGGAAGAAACAGACCAGTCAGTGGGTTGTGCTGGATGCTTGGTGGGGGCTGGTGGGCTCCCAAGGCGGGTGCCCCAGGGCCATGGCAGCGAGGAGGCAGACGGCAAGTCCCTCCAGAGGCCAAATTCCAGGGAAGCAAGTGGACAGCCCCGGGGAGGAGGGAGGCTCCTGCGGTGTGCGGGCAGGGGGGGGGGGGGGGCTGCCGGCTCCGGCTCCAGTGGGGAGCAAAGTGCGTGCAGCAAGAAGCAGGCCGTGGCAGCCCCAGGGCGGGGGCCCCAAGTCTGGGCAACAGGAGGTCAGGCCAGTTGGCCGCAGCCAAGTCCCCAGGCCGGCAGCCCTCCGCGAGCTGCGCTGGCAGGCCCTGGCAGTGCTTTGAAAGCAGTGGGGTGTGGCTTCCCTTGTGGGGTCCCCCCTGGGCCCCAAAAGACACCCGGAACCTGGAAGTGGGTCTCCTCCTAGCCTGGACTCCTGCCTCTCAGGGGCCAGCCTGCAAGTCCCAGCCGGCGGCCAGCACGGGGGGTGGGGGATGAGGAGATCCTGCGGCTGCAGAGCCACTGCCTGAGGACCCGCGGGGGCTCCCTGCCTGGCCCTGGGCCCCCACACCCACCGCTGACCCAGCGCGGGGCCAGACCAGCCAGGGGCAGCAGCCTCCAAGTGCGGGTCAGCATCCCGGCCACCACTCCTGCCCTGCGGGCCCCCACCTGCCCTTGAGGTCAGACCAGAGCCCCAAGTCAGGCCGCCTCGGGTCTGTGGGGTAGGTGGGGCGTCCAGTCTAGACAGAGCCCCCTAGAGGGCCTGGGAGGAGGGGCGGGGAGCTGCCTGGTGCTGGAGTGGTGGGGGGCAGCGTGGGGGAGGGGAAGCAAGGCAGGGGGTCCTGGGCTGCCATCTCCCCCAGACCCACTGGCTGCACCGATGGCCAAGCCCCTCTGAGGCCAGGGCTGGTGGGCACTCGGCATGGCCCCCACATTGGCTCCCTCTCCTCTCGGGGCATGTCTCGGGGTTCAGGGCTCCCCTGCCAGGCTCATCCCTCCTGGGCCGGGCGGGTGCAAGGCAGCAGTTGGGGACCCTGCCTGAGCAGCCCCGGAGGGGTGCGTCTGGGAGCGACAGGTGCCGTGACCCGGGTGCCCGCAAGCACCTCTGAGTCAGGGCTGTGCCTGAGACACCCTAATTGGCACCTCTGGGGTCCGGGTGCAGCTCCGCAGATGAAAGGGCCGCGGAGACGGCGGGGCGGGCGGAGGGGCAGGCGGAGTGCGGGGGGCTGGGGCAGCTGGTGGGGAGGCCCGCTGCTGTCTGGCCCGTCCACCTGAGGACCCTGACACCCAGCCCCGTCGAGGGGAGGGGCGGGGGCCCAGGCCAGCTCAGGCTGCAGCCAGGCAGACACCCCCGGGGCAGAGCTCCAGAGTGGGGCAGGCGGTGCCCCCGGGCCAGGACGGCCGCTGCAGTTGACAGGGAGGCTGTCAACTGGGGAGGCTGAGGTGATGAAACCCCGACTCCTGGCTGGCTGCAAAGCCCCTCTGGTGCCGGCCCTGCCCCCCCATGTCCCCAGGACCCCAGCCCACTCGACCCCCCTCAGAGGAGGCCTCCGGCTGCCTGGGCCCTCAGAAGCCCTCGCTGGGGGGTTTACAGCCGCTGCCCCTGGGGAGAGGAAATGGGCCTGGCTTCGCGGGCAGTTGAGAGCGGCAGGGACAAGCATATTAAAGGCCCGGAGGTTGCAGGCCCCTCCCCCGCCCCGCCAGCCCCTGAAATCTCACACCCTGGGCCGGGCTTTGAAGTCCGACTCTGGCCCCCCGCCCACCTGCCCTTCCTCTCCCGGCTCCTCCGCTGGGCCCTGGGCCCGGTGTCCTCTCCTGCAGGGGTGCGCTGAGCCCCCAGAACCTCTCCGGCCTGAACTCCCAAGGCAGCAGGTGCGGAAGGCTCCTGGTCCCCAGGGTTCCCCGCTCCCCCACTGGGCCAGGGGTCCGAGCCCCCCAGTGCCCACGGCCCCCCAAGAGCTCCCCAGCCTTGGCCTGCCCGCCCGCCCTCTGTGGGGTGGGAAGGGGGAGTGCGGGTTCTGGGGCGCCCCATACTGAGCCTCTGCCCTCTACCCCAGCAGCCTTGGGGAGCAGGACTCAGGCTCCGTGAGGTGCCCTGAACTCCAGGACAGTGAGGCTGGTCAGGAGGGCCAGAGGCTGAGCGGGGTCCCTTCCAGAAGGAGCCTGGGGCAGGGGAGAAGCTTGGCGTGGGGTCCCACACCCCAGGTGCCCTCTCTAGGGACTGGGGTGCTCAGAAACCAGGAGTCCAGCGGGCGTCTGGCCCGGGGTTGGGGACAGCGGTCACTGTTGGACATCAGAACAAGGTTCGTGGGTTTGGAGGTGCTTTGGGGAGGAGACGCCCTGGCTGTGAGAAGCCAAAAAGATGTGGGGCAACCCGGAGAGGCCGCCTGTCCCCTCAGTCCTGACAAGGCTGTCTGGCTGCAAAGGCCCAGTCAGGGGGGCCCGGACTACCCTGGGGCTGGAGACATGGCCTTCGGGGTTGGCCTGAGCGTCCCCATCCCCTCCGCTCTCCCCACAGCAGCCCCGCCAGCCCCCTGCTCTCTGCTCGGGGTGCCCTCCCCTCTTCCCGCCTGCTCCCATTTCCCTGCGGGGCCCCAGTTCTACCCACACAGCCCCTCCGTCCGTGATGCCCAGCATGGGACGTGCAGGGCCGGGCAGCACACCCGCCCCTCCAGGGTGCCGGCCCCCGCCGGCCTGCCTGCCACCCTCCAGACCAGGCGAGGCCAAGGCCCAGGCCGAGGTCCTCCCACCTGTCAGCTGAGGCCTCAGGCTGCCCCAGCCTGCTCCAGTGTAAACTGGGGAGGGGGTACACTGAGCACTGACACTCCCTTCTCCCCTCCCTCACCCCACCTGGTGACCTGGGCCTCTCAGCCACCTCCTGGGGCCCCAAGAGGGCGCCTGCCCCCACCCTTGGCCGCCTACCGCTCTGAGGATCGGCCCTGGGATGCCAGGCCCGGCAGTGCCCAGGCACTGGGGAAGCCCTAGGAGGCCCCGCCTGGAGCTGCCACCCCCGGCCTGGCAGCCGGGACAGGAGGGCTCAGAAGGTGCTAATTGATGTTTAGCTCCGGCTGCTCCTTGTTCACATCTCTCTCTCTTTTTTTTATTTGAGTCCCTGGAGCACACAGTAAACAGTCATTTGGCTCTGGGGGCCTTGCAAATTGGCGTTTATGGTGTGAGGACCCAGCCTCGTCCACCCAAACAGGGGCTGGGCGGGAGGGGCGGGAGGGGCGGGAGGGGCGGGCGGGCCCTCCCAGCCTGGCCTGGCCCTGGGCCCGCACCCTCCGGGGGAGAAGGCCAGGGGCTGCAGCTTCACCCAACACTGGGCCACTTAGGGCCGAACCTGCAGCCGGGACCTGGGGGGCTGGCGGGGACGCTGTAGTGGATCCAGGAGGGCTTCCAGGAAGCAGCCACGACAGTGGAGCCAGAGGCCTGTGCCCTGCGTGGTACGGCTACTGGCTCCCCAGGCCCTCAGCCCCGGGGAGAGCAGGCCTAGTGGCCCCCACAGCAGCCAGCAGCAGGCCCTCCCAGAGGGTGCCTGAGGGCTGGTTGCAGGCCCGGGCGACAGCTGGATGGGCTCCCCGGGACAGGACTGCCCTGACCGGTGGCTCCTCCCCGGCCTCTGTGTGGAGAGGTGGCAGCCCCTGCAGCGCCCCCGGGGGGCCTGCAGCCAGAGGGTCCCCAAAGCACATGGGCTCCTGCCACCAGTGCTCCCTATTCAGGCCTGGGCGAGAGCCCCAGGGATCGGCCCGTACCAGCCATCCTGGCCACACAGCAAGGCTTCCGCTGCCCCCACCTCCCCAGGACCTGTCCGCCTGGCTCTCGAGCTGGGGCCCCTTGGGCTGAGCAGCAGGCTCTGAGCCGGAAGGCGAGACAGGAAGGGGCACCTGCCGGGTCAGGCGGTCTCAGGGGAGCAGAACTGGGCTCCTCTCCTTACCCCCCTCCGCCCCAGCCCCAACCCCCCTCTTGGGCCTGCCCCTCACCCTGCTGCGCACACACCCTGCAGGCCCATCTGGCGCTGGGTTGCAGAGGAGGAGCTGGGAGTGGGGTCCTCTGGTGCAGTGCCCCTTGGCCGTCCATGGGGCTGCCAGCCAGGCCCCCTCTGTGCGGGGCCAGCTGTCTCGCCCGTCCAGACCTGGCTCCCATAGACAAGCCTGCAGGCTTTGGCAGGGCAGTTGGGGGCACCACCTCTGGCCCCACTGGGCTGCCTCCAGGTGCTCTGAGAGTGGCTGGTATGGGCTTGGCTGGCCCCAACATGGTCCCAGAGGCTCCCTGTGCGTGTCCACCCAGCAGCCAGCCCCACCCCTGCATCGGCGCCCGAGTGGCCCTGAGGTCGCTGCCCCAGGTCCCAGGATGCAGCTCCTGCAGGGAAACTGAGGCGGGAGGAGGGCAGGCCCTCACCCGCCAGGCTTGCCACCGGCTACAGGAGGGGTCCTGGTGCTGGGAGCCTGCGGGAGGGCGGCGTCCAGGAGGACAGGCTCTGGGCCAGGGTCCGGGTCAGCCTGAGGTCAAAGGTGGGCTGGGTCTGGAGCTGGACTGGCCCACCGCTTGCTCGCCTCGGGGCCTGTTCTGCGTGGACACAGCCCCTCAGGGCTGCAGGCGGGCACCTTCCCGGGTCCTGGACACACCGGGGGGGCCCTGGGGTTGCAGCGGCATCTCCTGGCCCTCCACCTGATCCTGAGCCCAGAAGCTCGTGAGCCTGGGAGTCCTGCCCATGCCTGCCGGTAGTCAGTGCTGGGCCTGCAGTGGACAGGCCTGGCGGCCTGACAGCCGGGCCCCACGTTGGAACACACGGCATGGCAGGACCCTGGGAGCCGCAGAGCGGGCTGGCCCCCCGTAGTGGGTGTGAGCCCTAGGGCCCTGGCGCTGCTCCAGGCCCTCTCTGAGAGCAGGGGAGGTGGCGGGAGGGGGTGCCCCAGGAGCTGAGGCCCACGGAGCCTGGGGCGTCTGACCCCCAGGGCGGGAGTGGCCCCAGGGAGCAGGAGCCTGGACACCGCCAGGCTTCAGCAGGGCTTTTTAATCAACTCGGCTGCTCAGAAGGCACCCAATTAAGAGGAGAATGCGTGCAGAGCGGGGGTCAAGCAGAGGGGCGGGTTTAATTAAAGGTGGGGGTGCCCGGTGGCGGCAGTGGGGCAGGAGCGCCCCCGCCTGACTGCTGCCCTCAGTGCTCTGGGGCTGGCTGCCTGGCCGGGGCGCTGCCTCTGCTGGCTGGGGCACTCCCTACCGCCTGCACCTTCTTCCCC